AATTATCAAATTAAATTAAAATATTTAAAAAGTGATACTGTTCGAAATACTTATAAAATAGAACTATTTATTTAATATGACTTGAAATTTTGTGCATCGTTGAACTTAAATTTAAGGCGGTATCTGGATATGTACAATCGTGAAATCATAAAATTTGAATAAGAAACCAATATGTTAAGAATTTTTTATATTTTTGCAATATAGGAAAATGTTGATCTAAATACAGCTAAATAATATAATATTTACGTAACTAATAGAGTATCTATATTTTTTAATTTAATACTCATATACTTTGAATACTAGTATTAAAAGTCACCATGCATGCGCTAAAATAAATTGTCGCCGGCTTAAAAGGAACGTAAACAAAGTTGAAAGTTAAATGTATTGATCTGCAACTGTGTTTTGCATAAAAAATTTATTGAATTATTTGTATTACATTTTATTTAAAGTATTCTACTCATTCTGTGATATGGCAAAACATCATCCAGATTTGATTTTTTGCAGAAAACAACCAGGAGTTGGTAAGACCTAAATTAATGTTAGGTTAAAATATTTTTTCAAATTATTGATTAAAAATATTTTTGTCTTGTTAACTAATGGTTATTAACGATTGTACGAAAAATTTTCTTTTTAAGTTTACATGTGAAAGAATTATTTTATCTTAACTTATTTTGCCAAATATTTAGAAATTAAATATTTTATTTCTGGATAATTAAAATATTGTTATGATAGTAGTAATGAGATTGTATTTTAATAATTGGGAAAAGGCACTAATGCGTTTTATGATGTAAAACGAAATTCTAAATTTTCAGCAATTGGGAGGTTATGTGAAAAATGTGATGGTAAATGTGTAATTTGTGATTCCTATGTAAGACCATGTACTCTAGTCAGAATATGTGACGAATGTAATTATGGATCTTACCAAGGTCGGTGTGTTATCTGTGGTGGACCTGGTGTTTCCGATGCTTATTACTGCAAGGAATGTACAATTCAGGAGAAAGATGTAAGTGTTTATAACAATAGTTTGATGTTTTTCATTTATTGAATTTGCTTCTTAATTTAGTATACACAGAAAGATAACACACCCAAAATAAGTTTAAAGTAACATATGCATAATGCATTTGGAAACCCATACTCAGTGAAACAAAAAACACAAAAAATTCAATTCTAGAATTTTGCAAGAGTAATTTTCTAAATTTAAAGACCTTTCAAATTTTTATTCACAGAATCTTTTATTTAAAGTGCAAAGAATGTAAGAAGATAAATTTACCTAATGTATTTGGCAAGTGGTACAAGAAATGTTAAGGGGTAATTTTACATAAAAAATACAATGAAAGTCAATAGTAACAAAATTATTTACTTCAATGTTTTTAAAACTATATATATAAAATTGTACACGAGATAGACAGTCATGAGGAAAAAGTTGTTGAATGTTTCAAGGATGGTATGAATGGAGATTATTAGACAGCAAAGCTTTCCATACTCCTGTCTGAGTTATATCAATTTATTAAATTCGATTTAATATTGTATCATTAGTATCCTGAAGTTTTTCACATTCTACATTTCACTAGTAAAACAATCTGAAATCTTGTGATTAGGGTGTCCTCTGTGATAATCATAAGGGGAACTCATGGTGCATCTTGAATATTTTTTGTACTCAAATTTATACTCAAATTTTATTGAGATATAGTGAATGACCCCCAAAGCAAAATAGAAATAAATTGTTAAAAATATGAAAATTTGGTTCAAATATCGACCCTGTGAATTAAACTGGATAGATAGTAGATGTGGTCAAATTAGGCGAGTCACTTAATACTCATTTAAAAAATAATTTGCTCATTTAAGGAATGCAAAAGAATTTAAAGTTGAATAAAAATAATTATTCAATGGAGAAAATATGTAAATTAAACACAGGTATATTCTTAGAGATACATATATCTTTCTATATGGAAAGGTTGGTTTTTTATTTTTATAATAGTGACACATCACCCAATTGTAGGAAGCTGTTATAAGTATAAAACTGTAAAAATAGTATTTTCATAAATACAATCAAAAATTAATACTTTAAAATTTTTTGATATTAAAAAAAATTCTCTGATATATATTTCAGTAACTACAATATGCCCGATTTTTTTATAATTTTTTATGCAATAAAACCAATGAAACTGAATTTAAATTGCAAATCCTGGTTGAATTTACACTACACCAATAATAGAAGTAGGGAATTGAAGCTCTATAAAAAATTGTTTTCTTTCAAACAGCTATTTCAATTAATATAACACAAGTTTAATGTGTTAGAAGCATGTTTAGCCTGTTTATTTAGCTGTGTCTTTTCTTGTAATGTTGGTTTGCAGTCAATGTTGATTATGTAACAAGGGTAAGAAACATATCGCAACATGATTGCAGAAAATTAGGTGCAAATATATTTAACTTAACAGTGAGTCCACAATCAGGATAAAGCTTAATTTGTTTTACAACTATGGGAGAACATGATTCTTTATGTAAAAATAACTAAGAAATGTAGTGTGAAATTTTGTCATATAAAACTTTCAACAAATCTATATGTTACAAAATTTTTGTATACACCTAATGATTGAATATGATTTAGCTATTGCACCATACTTTTATTATTAATTTTTCCTTCTGTTATTGTTGTAGATATTTGTTTAATGTTTAAATATTGTTAAAAATGCTTTTCTTAATGTTTGTTTTGTGAATTGAAGAAGTATGTATGAAATAAAACATTAGATAGTATATAAGTTTCAAGACATTAGCAATTGAAAATTTCATATAATATTTTTTGAATTATTTGTCTTACAGAGAGATGGTTGTCCGAAAATTGTAAATCTCGGAAGTTCAAAGACAGATCTATTTTATGAAAGGAAGAAATATGGATTTAAAAGAAGATAAGAATTAGTAACGAAAATTTTTTATTTGTATACAATTTTTTTCATGTTTCAAATAAATAACTTTTTCTGTAAATAATCGTTTCTTTCCTATAATTATATAAAGAATAATATATTTACGAACACGTTTCTATATACAGTCGATCACACTGAAAATTATCCACCACTTTTGTTTACTTATTCTTGTTCATAAACTGTAATATATGGATATTACATTTTTGCAAACAATGTATTAGGTGTACAAATGAAGAAACCAAATTTTTTTAAATACTTAGAAAACTGATTTTCCCGATTTTTTGTAGTTATGTTGTGTTGACATACATATAGCTATTAAAAATAACATTTAGTTTTGCGGAAAGCCCAACATAACCTTAAAAAATATATATCTAACACTATATTCTTTATGCATTCCAACAAACAAAAAATGTTGCAAAAGTATGCAAATCGTTTTGTTCCTTTCTCGGTAGAGGCGCTGTACTATACGATGTGTGCGTATTTTGATTTAAGCGGTTTAAAAGCGATTATTTCAGTCTGATCATCAAACGACGCCCTGGGGGCTCTCGGAAGTGTAACAACAGTGATTTGGAGCAATTGCTTGCTGAAATTCGGCACGAACGCAGAAAGAGATTGCAGAACAGTTAGGATAAATATTATTGAAGGTATTTAGAAATTCTTAAATGAAATTTGAAAAATAGTGCGGAAAAATTAGGTATTCTAAATACACTTCACATATGTATATCAAACAATGATCCAAAGCACTAGTCTGCAATTGTAAGAGAGTGGTTGTTGTACAACTGCCCACAAGTACTAGAAACACCAGCACAGTCGCTGAGTTTAAATGTAATTAAATATGTATGGCATGAATCAGAAGTGAGAATTCGGCAAAATCATATTACCAATAAGGATCAGTTGAAAAAAGGGTTACTTATGGTGTAGGCACAAATATCTGAGACACCCTGTATATATATGGACGATTTATATTGTGAGGTTTCTTTCATGTACATACATGTGTACACAGGTATAACAGTTTTGTTTATATTATAAAATTTTCTATTTTTTGTTTGAATTATACTGTATAATAAGAAATATAGAACATTACCTATTGATCGTAACCGTACTTTATTCGTATATACAAGTGTTTTTTCCAAAAATTAATCGTAAACAAAAATTGAATGTAAATCGTAATTAACCGTCCCATCGTGGACGATTTTCAGTGTGACCGACTGTATACATAGCGTAATCTTTTTGTTATCAAATATATTCATCAACTTATATTCTGTTGTTGCAAAGAAATTTTAGGTAAATATAATAAATGAGGAGTTAAAATGGTAAACGATGTAAGTGTAAAGAAAAATAAAAAATAATTTTTTAGTGGAAAAGGATGTAGATTTCATGTTTTAATACGGTGGTGGTAAGTGCTACGTAGAATACTCTATTTTAGTTTTTAGGGCTATCACAAGATAGAGTTACAATCGTTAGCGGCAACTTCGTTGCGATTGAAAAAAATGAAAGTGCGAGTAGTCCTCACAGCCTTTTATTCTCCTTCTTTTATAAATGTGGTAAACGCTGAAAGTTCATGGCGTTTAAGTGATAAATGATGTAAATGCCAAAATAAACAAACACATGTTTTCAGTTATATTGCAAATTTTCACTTTTGACACATCATTTATCTTTTCAACTCCTCAAATATGAACTGTACATAGATAATATTTTCTCTTCTATGGTTGTTTCGAAAAATATATAGGGTGTTTCTTTTATCTCGCAAAATTGAAATAGGTTCAGATCCTCGCGAGATATTTCAATTTTACGAGATAAAGGAAACACCCTGTAGATACGAAATTAATACATTTTGCCAGTTTCACTGTTTACTTCTTTATTTTAACGACTTGAATAACATTTATGTAATTAGATTTGCAATATAATTGCCACTCCACCAAGGATCCACTTGTTGGCCTTTTCTTTAGTTCTCAAATTAAACGTCCATACATAAGTTGGACCTCGTGATCGTGTTTTATACACAGGACACTCGTATACATTTTTGAAATCTTGCTTGTCCTGCGTAATGGCTCTAATGTACACTATTGGCATTAGCGGGAACAATTCTTTGAATCGCGAGTCCGAAATGCATCCAGCTTGGAGATCCCATCTCGCACCTTCCATGTATAATCCATTTATATACGCACCTTCCCTTGGTGCTGATCTGTGAATTTTTTTTATTAAAAACGTATTATTAATTATTTCGAACAAACCTTGTAAAAATTAAAATGCAATTTCATTAATAGAAAATTAGGCACATGAGTTATTCAGAAAGTGAATTTAAATAAACATAATTGAGATAAAGTACTGTAAACCTAATTATTCTTTAATGTTTTTAATTGATCCGTAGACAATACAAACTAGTTAATAAATAATTAAAGTCATACTAAGAGAAAACATTGCACAAAGGAATAAAGTAAGAATTTTAATAATTACGTGACTTCTTCTTTGTATTTTCTTATTACTTCGCAGTACAAACACATTTTGTCCAATGGCCATTCATTCTTGCGCGCAGTTTGTTGCATAATGGCGGTTAGGAAAGATTGAGGATTGAAGAAACCACCTAGCCAGACTGATGACGGTAGCTAGCAAAATTTTTATCAATTTATTAGAACAGCTTGCTTAATTCGCAAAATAAAATTCAGAGCAAAGTAAATAACGTTATTGGAAATGTTTAACATGTTATTCGTAGCTTACACTGCTGGGTATTTTTCACAATTATTCATTCTACTTTCTACGGTGTGTATATTTCTTAAAGACTAGAGTATGACTATACAGGGTGTCCCGCAAAGAGTGTAACACCCGGAAATGGGGGGTTGCTGGGGTGACTCTGAACAACTTTTTCCTTTACCAAAATCTTGGTTGAAGCTTCGTTTTTGAATTATTAACGAAAAACACTGGCTAATCAGAACGCGCGTAGAGCCCGCGCTCAACCACGGGAGCGCTGACTCTCATCCGCGCGCGATCGTGAACAAGCGTACGCGTGATATTTAGAATGGGTCCGGCATTCAACGTGTTAAACGACTTGTTAGCTTATTTGTTATTCGTGAATAACGAATAATTCCAGATTATTCTTAATTTAACACCGATACCCACGCTGTGCCAGTGCGTTTGTTCATGATCGCGCGCGGATGATTCCCTGCACTCCCGTGCCTGGGGGCGGGCTCTACGTGCGCTCTGATTGGCCAGTGTTTTTCGTTAATAATTCGAAAACGAAGCTTCAAACAACATTTTGGTAAAGGAAAAAGTTATTCAGAAAGATCCCAGCAACCCCCCATTTCCGGGTGTTACACTCTTTACGGGACACCCTGTATAGCTTTGTCTATTGACTTTCTTACGGTAGAAATTGTTGTTCTGCATGTTCTGTAAATTTAAATGAAATACGGAATAAAAATTTACACTAAAATCTGCAATCCAATTAGACAATTCACTTATTCGGTTCAACATATCGGAAAACCAGCTGTTTAATCCTAAATTTGAAGGATATGCTTTCTTTGTCCAAGATGGCGGAACGAAGTCCAACATTATATAATTTTGCAGATCTTCCATTTCAGCGTTGATTGTTAATTCTCCCTTTAACAAAACATCATCCATTAAATGTTACGGATGTTTGATTTTAAAGTATATCTTAAAAACAGGCTAAAAGTTTATATTACTTTCAAGCCTAATTCCAGCTCTCGCAGAGATCTCTTAAGTTCTTCACATAATAGATTCATTCGTTCGCATTCTTGTAAAGCAACTGTAACGTATGGTGTGCGATCCTCCACCTAAGATGTTCAACATAAAGTTTAAAGATCTTGCTATTAAAGTGTAAAATTAGTTATACTTTTATGTGTGTGCAGGGGTGCTATCTTATAATATAAAACCAGAAAAAGTAAAAAAAAAAACAAGAATCACATTTTTCCAAAAGCAAACGGGAATCACATGAAGTTTGTTCTCTAGTATGAGAATAGCAAATGCGCAATTCTTTGGCAACACAAACGATTGAGAATTTCTTACACATACAAAGTGAGCCACTCATGGTAGAAAATTTAGGGGATGATTTTAGAAGCCGAAATAAGACGCAAATCAAGAATAAACAAATTGCGTTTGAAGCCGAGCAAATTCTTACTAAAATCTTTAAATATTTTAGTTGCTCGATATGTTGTTGTTACGTGTATGTTCATAGAATTGAAAAGAGATTTTAAGAACCTTGCTATTAAGTTCTTGCATATTAAATTCTTCTGGTAATTTATCTAATAAATCTTCTAGAATTCCTTTAAGTTTGTCTTCTCGTGAAACCTCACCCCCTGCTGCATCGCCTGCGGTTCTCGTCAGTATTTCCAATAACGTTTTAAATAAACTTTCTGCAGTTGCGGTTAAAAATCCTAAGGAATATATCGTTTGTGCATTGTTTCTGTATTAGTTTTACGAAAATTTCATTTTTTAGGTTACATTATGTATGCATTAAACGTGTCTATTTAATTATACTGCATATCGTGAAGCACCAATGACTTCAAAAAACACGCAGGAACGTATCGTTAATGTATGTGTAAAAATTTGCAGAAGTACACTAGAAAATGTGTATGTACAATTTGTCAAATGATTAGATGTCTGTGTCAGATCGAATACCGTTTACAATAAACCCTTCATTGTAAACATCTCAATAAATACCCACTTTAGACCTATTATACCTTAATACTTATTTACACAATTTTTAATGCTCTTTTAATTTCCATAAAGAAATATAGTGTTCCATCTAAAAATATCCAGGTGATCTTCAACGCTTTATACATAAATAAAGTAAACAAAAAATTATTTTAACGTATGTTTCCCTTAAAATCGTGTAACTTTAGGTGCATACACTTATTCGTATAGCTAATAGTTTATGAGTAATTTCAAGTCGTCAAGTTAGATGAATCATCCTGTATATCTTTAAATACAACCGAACATCTGAACGTGATACGAATATTTACCAATTTCTGCATTAGCATGAAGTCCATACAGAACAGGACTCTCAGCAGGTATGTAATCGTCAACGTATTGATGGTAGGCAGCATAATCACTGTTGGGTGGTACCAAAAAATCTGGTGCTAGGTATAATTCACCTACATAAAGGATGAAAAAATTTCTTTCTTATCTTCTTTTCGTTTTATACAACAATCTTCTGTGATTCCAACACTTTTATCAAATTAACTAATATTTATTCCAACTGATAGTAGCTATCAGTATTTGCATCACAGTCGATAGAGACTGTACATACGTTATGGTGGTTCTTATTTTTGTCGACTTTCAATTTTTTTTTGCCACAACCCTTGACATTACGACACTTGGTGAAAAGATAGTTTCTGTAAAATTTCAGAGTGATCGGACAAAAAAGGGAACCTGTGCCGCATTTGAGTTAAATTTAAAAAATTTTAACGATTTCACGTTAACTTCGGACAAATTCGTTTCTCCTTATTCTAAAAGTATTAACGAATAGTTCTTAATAAAAGTACAATTTTGTATTTATATAATGTGTACAACTTTCAACAATATACTCAAAATCGTTGAATTTTACGGTTAAATTGAGTATACAGGGTGTCCCGTAAAGAGTGTCACACCCGGAAATGGGGGGTTGCTGAGGTGACTCTGAACAACTTTTTCCTTTACCAAAATGTTGGTTGAAGCTTCGTTTTTGAATTATTAACGAAAAACACTGGCCAAT